GTAACCACCCTACATCAAGCGGGCCGTCTGCTCGTTTGCCACCTTTGACATAAAAAAAAACACATAGGCAGTCTCGGTATTTTATTACATATTATTTTACAAGTCTAACAGTATACGTATTATTGATACATCAGATGAGATAAACACATTTACAATACCTCTTTGAATACATATGATCTTTACACAGTTATTTAATAAATATACCATGATAATTAAGACACAAAAAAGTTTTATTCATCAAATTTTGTGAATAAGAATAGCAGAAATGTTTTAAGTACTAAATATATATTTGGTTTTCACGTTAATAGGTACATAAAAATAAATTATACTATATTAATATATGGTAATTTATTTTTTGTTTTGTTTGTTGTTATTGATTAAAAAAGAAATCGGTTAAAACAAATATGTATAATAGATTGGATTTATGAAAATGTTCAAGTTCTACTCGTTTCGTAAAAGTTAAGAAATATTTTGTTTGCAAAACAGTTGAATATCAAACAGACTTCCGAATGTATTTTATAAAGGAATAAGAAATAAAGTCATATCTTTATTATTTGAAGAAAACTAATTTCACTTTATGTGTGTATTATGTTTTCGGACACTAATATTTATAGGTCCCTATAGTTCACATATTCATTTTCATTTATTACATTAAGTATTATGATTTATTTTAATACTATTTATACAGAAATACGACAGTAACGCAAATATTTATTTTGAAATGACTAACTAATTTTTGAACATTCGTATTTACAACTATACTTTTTGGGAACACATGTTTAATATTGTGCAGTAAATTTGGTATTTTTACGGTAATTTATAATGATTTTGTGCACTATATTATTCAACGTCTGCTTTCATTTTAATAAAAAATATTGCCTCTGAAACACAAACATTTAAACACTAATTAATATCACATGAAATGATAAATTTCACTATTTTTGAAAATATATTTTGGAATTCCTTCATCTAGCATAGATCTTCTAGGAAATATTTTTAGTGCATTAAGCATTTTTATAGAATTAATGGCAATTTAAAAAAATGAAATCATTCAGCGCGATAACAATGTAAACTGATAATTAATTAACGTTTTCATGTTGAATAGATAGTCTAATTGAATGTACCCATGGTGAGCATCTATCAATGTATTATGATACATACTGGAATTACAATTTAACTAGAGTTGATCGAGTTAAAAAATAATACAACTGGTAATATCTATGTTTGTTAATAGAATTAAACTTCAAGTTGAACTAAGTTAAAAAAATATTCAATTTCTTACCGGTCCGTATACAGTATGTGTGTTTGAGTAATGAGGTTAGGGTTGCATGACATTTTCATAGACCGTATTCAAAAATCTCTTTTATGTCAATCTTATTCAGAGTTAAAGGAAGTTTATAAATGGATCCAAAAGGGTTCGTTTATAAATGAAGTGTCTAGTACTGGTCGCATACTTCAGTGCTTATTACTTTTTAGTGGCGATAAAACTAAATTATTAGCTGATACTGAAACTTTCATAACTCATTTTAAGACTCCTGTTTAAAATAAATAGAATTTAATTACTGACGTTGAGTTTTCTAGCACAGTTTACGTAAATTTCACTTTTCAAGCTTTTATATAAATAATTATGACACATAACACAAAAGAGGTCATAAATTATACTGGTTTTTAATATTATTGTGTTATACATTTTTTCGTGTTTACAAATTCTTTATTTATGCTCGATAACAATGTGTAATACTAAATCGGAAGTGCCATATATAAGTCTGTGTTACGTGATTTTATACAAAAAACAACTGTTTTGTAGTGTTCCTGAGGGAACTACACGTAGTTCCTGTATAAATTGTAACCTTTATATTATCTTGCTTTATATGTATATGTATAATTCAGTAGTTTTAGAGTGAAATAGTACCCATAATCTTCATATAAAATATGTACATCTACACAAACTTTGACGCTTTCAGTATTAGTGTGGCTTAAAAAAAATGTGTCTTGCTTTTTATTGATATTATTCTCAAATTCCATATAGATTCCGGAAAGTGTAATGAGCTAAAATAATTATTAAAAAAAAATAATATATATATCTATTTTTATAAAAAAAAAAATCATTAAAGACAAACACAATAATATAAAGAAGTTGATTGATAGATTCCTTTGTATAGTGAGTACGAATATGTCAGTGGTGGCCTAGTGGTTAAAAGATCCGCCTCTTATGCACGAGGACGCGGGTTCGATCCTGGCCCGGGCAAGTAGCAATGTGATTTTTCCGAGTCATATGTACTTTCTAAGAGTAATTAGGCATCACTGATTAATGCTGATTCCCAGAAGAGGATTGATGTCAGGTAGGCGGCCGGTCGTAAAACAATTAGCCAAATCTATTCACAACATGTTATGTTCTATCCATAACGGGTTTATATAAAGTAAAACAATATTTTTTTTGCTTTTGAAACAATATGTTCACAGAAATTCAAACAAAATTTTTACTTTAGATTAATATTAGTTTATACCAATCTACTTATGAAAAATCTGTTCTACGATGTAAAAAAAGCTGGAATCAGGTTCTGTTTTATAATACTTTACGTATACCCGTAGTAATTTGTCTGTATTACTTTTACAATGTCAACTACTGTTAAGGGTGAATACTGGCATACCCAGATTAATACGTCGCAACATTTGGCTTAAATAAGCCATAAAGGCATACTAAATGTTATAAAATGAAAGCAGTTACATATTATTTTCAATAACTCTCTTTTATTTAAATTTTAAAATATTGTTATTGACCAATAGACGTTATACCAAATTATATTATTATTATAACTTATTAAATCTTTTTATATTAATAGCAATAATCCTTTCTTCTTCACTTACTTCAGTATATTTTTGGTTAGAAGTAATACAACGACCATGTTGTAAAGTAGCATGATAAATCCTTCTTTTATAACCATCATTAAATGCTACATAAACCTCATCCGTTTATAGACACCTTTAGTATTCTTCTTCAAAGATTTGAATCAAGCAGCTGTATAAAACAGTGTTAATACATTTTTACATATGTGTTAGACATTTTAATCTTTGTTTAAAATTTTTAAACTCTAAAAATCACAAAGAAAAATGTTATTCTTTTTGGTATCTAACGTCATTAAATCTTAACCTAAATTGCATCCCTAAAACACTTTAAGTCAAACGTGGATAAAATTTATATTACTTTATTTCAATGTGATATAGAATTAAAATTAATTTTGTACAAAAAGTTCTCATTTTATTAAATGTCATTTACTGAAGCTTGCAATCGGGATACTCTTGAAATTATACATATGTGGCAAATGATTTAAAAAAAATTGTTGTTTTAAAAGGGAGTAACGCCATCATCGCCGTCGTCACTAATGTCACTTCTTTCAGTACGTTCTGTTATAACCTAGGATTGTAAGTGTAATTGCGTAAATGCAATTCTATAATAGACAGGTCAGCATTTATCATTAGAACATTAATTAGAACCCCTTCATTTAGTCAGTCTTCACCTAGATCTTGTAATGAGCGGTTGTCCTTTAATTATTAAATAAATCAGTTTATCTTTTTTTTAAAAAGTGATTTTAATTCTCCGGGCTAACATTTTGGTGGCAGCGGTGGGATACGAAATTCCCCAGTGCATAACTCCGCTCAAAAGACTCAATTGTATAATCGTATCCTACAAATCTACAAATTATCAACATTATATCCTTAAAAAGGATTCACGCTCCTACAAGGGAGACCTACGGCGATATCATAAGTCGTCAAATCACCGAAACTTCGATTATCCTGCTTGCATCCAGTGAGAATCCCGGGATTAAACGTATAACAGAAATATACCTCACCGAGTCAGTTCGACGTGCATCCACATTCTTGAAGATCATATTCCAGAAATGTGCAATCCGAGAGTCGTCGTGCTCTTATCAGTCGTGCACGTGTTAATGCAGTAAGTCTTTGGCCATTGTTTTGTTCAATGAATTAGGGTTCCTTTTACAATACTTAATATTATAATCTTTTAATTGTGAGTTCATGCATGCATATATTTATATTAGTGTGATTTGTAATTTCAAAACAGTTTTATAAATTTGTTTTAAACCTAAATTATGCCAAAAGTGCCTAAATCAGAGGACGGCAAACTTAACTTAGATATTCCTGACCTAGATCAAGTACCTAGTGATATTTCTGCTAAATCACCTGTAACATCACCCCGCGTTACAAGGCGGACTGCCGCTAACATCGCCATGGCTGAGTTAGACCTAAACATCTTGTTTAAATTCATCAAATCCTATGACGGCAACAGAGAAACTCTTAACTCATTTATAGTAAATTGCGATAATGCATTTGAACTCGCTTCCGATAGTCAGAGGCCCATTCTATTCAAATTTATACTTTCACAATTGAACGGCAAGGCAGAAGTTGCCTGTTCGATAAAAGATTTTACAAACTGGGAGCAACTTAAGGAGTTCCTTAAGACCCAGTTCAGTGAAAGAAAACATTACTCTCATCTTTTGATGGAGCTTCAGGAGAGCAGACAAGGTCCGCAGGAGAATGTTAATCAATACGCGCTAAAGATGGAAACATACCTTTCACAGCTACTCACTGAAATATCACTTTCCACTTCTAAACTAAAGGAGCTTCCTGGGCGCACAGCGGCCATGGAAGACCTCGCCCTCCATCATTTTGTCATGGGACTTCAACCCCGCATTTCCAATATTGTCAGATGCAAAACACCAAGAACATTAAATGAAGCAATCAATTTCGCCATTTCGGAGGAGAGAATCCAACAAACCCTTTATAGGCGACCACAGGTCGAACAAAGGTCCAACAATCATAATAGATTTAGGGCTAACCCGGGGCCAAGCTCAAATTCTTCTCACATTCAGTCAGTACGACCAAATTCTAACTCGGCTCCTCTTCAGAGAGCTCCATTTAATACACCCCCAAGGAAGCCATATAACAATAATGATTCAAACCTTTTCTGTCGTTATTGCAAAATGAAAGGCCACGAAATTTCCACTTGTAAGAGGCGCGAGTATAATAACGCCAGAGCTCAAAGGTTTCAAAATTCCCCGCGCGTCAATTTTGTTGAACTGCCTCAAGAGGAAGTAGGCTATGATGAAGTCGATGAGGTAGAACAATCTCAGGATAATTTAAACGCGTAAAAGTCTCGCCCCGGTGCCGATCGAGACAAATTAAAGTGATAGGCACCGAATTTAATTCTAAGGGTCATAAACAGGGTAACCAGCCCCAAACTCGCACCCTCTCTAATTCACTGAGCCACGAACAGGGTAACCAGCCCCAAACTCTCGCTCATCCTAAGGGTCATGAACAGGGTAACCAGTCCCAAACTCGCACCCTCTCTAATTCACTGAGCCACGAACAGGGTAACCAGCCCCAAACTCTCGCTCATCCTAAGGGTCATGAACAGGGTAACCAGTCCCAAACTCGCACCCTCTCTAATTCACTGAGCCACGAACAGGGTAACCAGCCCCAAACTCTCGCTCACTCTAAGAGTTCTAAACAGGGTAATCAACCCCAAACTCTCAATCATTCCAAAGAGGTGTATGAAGTTCATATTGATACTACGAAACGGCTTTTACCGCATGTCCTGCTAGAGTCTCAAGCCTCAGATATTCCTCTATCTCTGCTAGTCGATTCGGGCTCCGCCATTTGCCTCATAAAAGAATCAAGTATCCGATCTAATCAAAAACTAATTAAAGAACCTATCAAACTCAAGGGTATAGACCCTAGTGACGAGCCAACTCCTACTATAGGGCATTTCCAACTAAAACTAAAACTAGGAAATAATAAATATCTTTCTCATAAATTTCACGTAGTCCGCGATATTAACTTACCTTATGATGGAATCATCGGTACAGATTTTCTAACTAAATTCGGATGTAAAATAGATTACACTCACGATATTCTAAAGATAGGCAAACAAGAAGTCAAATTATTGTTCTCTGAACCATTCTTTGTCATTCCACCCCGAACCGAAGCCGTAATAGAATGCGCTGTCCAAGAAACCGACCTAAAAGAAGGAGTAATTTTAGACCAACATATTTCCAAAGATATCCTCATTTCCAATTGTATCGTCAAAATTAAAGACAACAAATGCGTTAACATCACAGTAGCTAACACATCAGAGCGTTTTGTAAATATCAAAACAAGCCTCGTTCTTCATGTAGAGCCTATACATCAGACATCATACCCAGTAACGCCTTATATGCCTAACCCGGAAACGTTCAAAAGAACCGCTGAAGTCGTTAATTCTTTAAGAGTAGAACATTTAAATAATGAGGAGAAAAACGCCCTTGTAGAACTTTGTTCTCAATTTTCAGATATCTTCCATTTACCTGATGACCAACTTACCTATACATCTGCTCTGAAACATAGTATTAAAACTAGTAACGACACTCCCATTCATACTAAATCATACAGATTCCCAGAATGTCACAAGAAGGAGGTAGAAACACAAATTAACAAAATGCTTGACGAAAATATAATTGAACCTTCTTCTTCACCCTGGAGCTCGCCGATTTGGGTGGTACCGAAAAAGGCAGACTCACAAGGCAATCGTAAATGGCGCATTGTCATAGATTACCGTAAATTAAACGATATTACAATCGGTGAAACATATCCGATTCCTCAAATTTCCGAAATTCTTGATCAACTTGGAAGAAGCAAATATTTCAGTACATTAGATCTCGCTTCTGGTTTTCATCAAATCTTAATTTCTCAAGACGATGCACCCAAAACCGCTTTCTCCGTGCCTCAGGGTCATTACCAGTTTAATCGTATGCCTTTCGGGCTCAAAAATGCACCTTCAACCTTCCAAAAATTAATGAATAATTGCCTAACAGGTCTCCAAGGTACTAGGTGCTTCGTGTACCTCGACGATATCGTAGTCTATTCTTTTGATCTGGCCACTCACATTGAAAACCTAAGATCCGTCTTTGAAAGAATTCACAACTTCAACCTAAAACTTCAACCCGAGAAATGTGAATTTCTCAGGAAAGAAGTCACTTACTTAGGGCATATTATCGGTCAAAATGGGGTACAACCTAACCCAGACAAGGTCAAAGCTGTCACAGACTTCCCTACACCCAAGTCTCCTAGAGATATTAAATCATTTTTGGGCCTTGTATCATATTATAGACGTTTCATACAGGATTTCTCTAAGTTAGCCAAACCTCTAACTAATCTTCTCAAAAAAGATACTCCTTTTACATGGGAGAACACACAACAATTAGCATTCGAAACTCTTAAGGAAAAACTCGTTTCGGCTCCAATTTTGGCATACCCTGACTTCACACAACCGTTTCTTCTTACTTGTGATGCTTCCAACTTTGCCATATCGGCTATTCTATCTCAAGGACAAATAGGCCAGGACCGTCCAATCGCTTTCGCCTCTCGTACTCTTAATCGGGCCGAATGCAATTACAGTGTCACTGAAAAAGAGTGCCTCGCTGTGATCTTTGGCACTAAAGTTTTTAGACCTTACCTCTACGGACATCGTTTTACTGTACTAACTGACCATAAACCACTTGAATGGTTATTCAAATGCAAGGATCCAGGTTCCCGGTTGATCCGTTGGCGTTTGAAATTGGAGGAGTTCGAATACGATATCAAATATAAAAAGGGGAAAATCAACACGAACGCCGATGCTCTATCTCGGTTCCCAGTAAATCCAATTCAACCTGAAAATGCCTCTGAATTAGACGAAGATCTCATGGATCTACTCGTATCACCACCTTCTTTCAACCCTGACGAGTTAACTGCAGATATTCAGGATCCCTGTGAATATGACACCGCCGAATTGGCACAGTCGTCTGACCCTACCATAGAACCTACTCTACCAACTGACCCTCCTTCAAAAGATCCAATAGATCTATTAGTACCACCTACTGATTTTAACCCCGATGACTTAATCATAAACTCCCAAGATCAAGGTGAGCCTGTTAGAACTGAAAGTCAAAATACACCTAACCTCATCGTAGAGCCCGGTCCTCCTACAGACGATTCTCTTAATCTAAACCTACCTGATGATGACTATCCCGCATTCTTGAAAATAATTGCAGGTAATAATGCAACATTTAATACAAAAATAATAGAACATAATGAAGATATTCGCAAATCAAAAAGTAAAATAATTATCTTACCCACTTCCATAGACCTCGATGAATCCAACCCCTTTGTTCAATACGTTCTAGACAACATACCTGACAACTCCGAAATCATAAATAAAGAAAGAACGTTAAACTCATTTATATCATTCGAGCACGCCGGCAAGAAATATTACTTCCTTTTCACCAAAGTTTACCATTTCGACAAATGTTCATATGTCGACATTTATAACAGTCTGAGGAATCTCCGAAACGAATTAGTCATAAATGAAAACAGCGATTCAAACATAGAAATAGCAATAACAGAATTTAAAAATCCCTTTGATACACATCAATTCATCAAGATATATAATATGATTCTCTTCCTTTTCGATAAATCCGGTATAACCATTCATATTTATAAAGATAAAATAATTTACCCCACTCCTTCAGAAATTCCCAAGATATTAAAAGAAAATCACGATATTCCAATCGCCGGTCACCTTGGTAGTAGTCGAATGCTTAAAAGAATTCAAGAAATATTCAATTGGAAAAACATGCGCAGCGATGTCGAGAATTATGTTAAGAAATGTCCTCAATGTCAACTCAATAAATCTCTTAGACAAATTAACCGCGCACCTATGCAAATAACTAGTACCTCAACCGAACCATGCCAAAGAATAGCACTAGACATTGTTGGCCCTTTACCTGAATCCGGTCCGGCGAAGCTCAAATATATATTAACTGTCCAGGACGACCTCACGAAATTTTCATCTGCCTATCCAATACGAAGCATTACAGCTGAAGAAACTAGCGAATGTCTGCTTCATTACATTTCAATATTCGGTATACCTAAAACTATTCTCACTGATCAGGGAACTAATTTTACCTCTGAATTGTTTAAAGAAACTTGTAAACTTCTAAAAATTAAAAATCTCTGGTCCACTCCTTATCACCCACAAACTCAAGGTGCTCTGGAACGAAGCCATTCAACACTTAAAGAATACTTAAGATCCTTTGTCGATGAAGACCAAACGAATTGGCCTCGTTATGTCTATACCGCTATGTTAACTTACAATACTTCTGTCCACTCTACAACTAACTATACGCCTTACGAACTTATGTTCGGCAGCAAACCTTTTATTCCAAATTCTATATATGAAGAAATACCCGGAGCCACTTATCCAGATTATGTCCGAATGCTTCAGAGCAGACTGAAATATTCGAGAGACAAGGCATTAGATTATATAAGAAAATCCAAAGAATCGTCAAAAACTTACTATGACTGTCATAGTCGCCCTGTGAAATATAAGGCAGGAGATTACGTTTATTTGAAAAATCATCTGAGAATGCGTAAGGCACTCTCACCAGTATGGAAAGGTCCTTACAAAGTTATTAAAATTAATGGTAACAACACACTTACCCTTCTCATTAACAGGCGTCACGTAACGCATCACTTTGATAAGGTGAAACCTGCTGAAACCACCGGAACTAATTCGCGTAGTCCGCAGTCAATTCCTTTAAGTGAATCTCCGGAACTCGTAACATAAGATTAGAGTAATAAGAAATAAAATAAGTGTAGTTAGGTATATAAAATATTAAAACGTAAATTTTATATTAAAAACATTGTATTAAGATAAAGTAGTAACTTACTTTAGTTTTGGCAACCGTTGTTTACAGTGTTACACGGGGAGAACCCCAGCGGAACTACGTCCAGCCGATTATTTCAAGTTCAGGTCTTTATTACGACTACTTAGGAAATTTGAAAATCAATAATGTCCAGTTACAAGTTGTAATTCCAGTAGATATTTCCCATTTTAAACCACACATTAAAAATATTGAAAATACCTTAGAAACCTTGAAATATCTTTGTAAACAAACCAGAATTGAACAAATAGATCAGGAATGTCATAATTTATTACAACCGATATCGGCGCGATTCCAAGATATGAGTAAGGAGTTCTCTGCTATTTCCCATCTTCTAGACAATAGATCCAAGCGCAGTGCCTGGATAGGTGTCATGGGAACAGCAATGAAACACATATTCGGTTCATTGGACGAGAATGATGGTATGAGGTATAATGAAGCCATAACGACTTTACAAAATGATGAAAAACGGTTAGCCACGTTGATGAAAGAAAATATCCTAGTTACTTCTTCTACTTTAAAGATACATAATGATAGTTTATTTAAGATTAGAGAAAATGAGAATAATCTCGTTGTAGCTATTGACAAGCTCTCTTTAAGTATAAAAAAACATTACTGAATTAACTAACGGTCTGCAGATCCTCATTAATGTTAACGAAGTTTTTAACGCTATAGAAACTGCCATAATTACTCTGTCCTTTCAACTGGAAGATGTCACTAACGCTATAATGTTTAGTAGTCAAAATGTTCTCCACCCATCAGTTATAACTCCTAAGCAGTTATATCAAGAGCTTGTCGATAATTACAGACATTTGTCTAATGATCTAGAATTACCTGTAGCATTAAATATTGATTCTATACATTTAATTCTAAGTATATCTAAAACAGTTTGTTTTTACATTAGAGATAAGATTGTATTTGTCTTAGAGGTACCGCTAGTTAACACGAAAGAATACGTATTATTCCATAATATAGCTATTCCGACGCCACATAATCCTAAGGAACCTAATTCATTTACTTTAATAATTCCTGAAAATAAGTATATAGCAATGACCATAGACAAATCGCATTATTGTGTGTTTAATGATCTTGGAGCGTGTAAGTCTGTAGGCACAGGAAACTTCATTTGTGACCTCCAGAATGTGTATTCTACGGATGCAAAACCTATTTGTGAAAGTGAGCTATTAGCTAAAGTGATAAGTGAAAAACCGATACAGTGCGAGACGAAAATCTTATACGGAAACCTAAACCTATGGAAATCATTAACAAACAATAAATGGTTGTATGTGCAGTCCGAACCCCAAAAAGTGTCTATTGATTGTATTAATTCAAAACTATATGAAACTAATATTTTAGGAACGGGAATTCTTAACATCCCAAAAGATTGTATTGGATATAGTAATAGCGCCACGTTTGTACCTACACATAATGTTCTACAGATTAAATCACCAATTAATCATGTGCCAGATTTTAATTTAATTAATGATACTTGTTGTAACTTAAATAGAGTAAATTCTGTAATCGGTAATGTGTCTCCTATTCGTTTACACAATATAGACCTAGACGATTTCCACTCTGGAAATAAATTAAAATCTATATTAAATAATTTACATCAAATCGAAACGAGGAAATTGCCTCATATTGTGGAATATGGGACACAGTACTCAATTTTCATTAATGTAATACTTTCATTTATAATTATTTTCATATTATATTTAGCCATTAAGATTTGTTGTATTAAACTAAACAACCGCCCATTCCAATATTTTAAGAAGAAACAAGCAGTAACTTTGACAACCCCTGAAATTAAGGAAACTATAGACAGAACAGAAATTGATACTGAAATATCCAGTCCAGTAGCCCCACTTAGAACTAGGATATAAAACGAGACTTTGGAATCAACCCCAAAGCCTCTTCTTAAAGGGGGAGGTATTATAACCTAGGATTGTAAGTGTAATTGCGTAAATGCAATTCTATAATAGACAGGTCAGCATTTATCATTAGAACATTAATTAGAACCCCTTCATTTAGTCAGTCTTCACCTAGATCTTGTAATGAGCGGTTGTCCTTTAATTATTAAATAAATCAGTTTATCTTTTTTTTAAAAAGTGATTTTAATTCTCCGGGCTAACAGTTCCATGATATTTTAAAATGAAACTTCAATTGTTCTTAATGTTCCTGTATTCCTCGAAGGTTCTTCATAATCACATAATTCAATGGTCCGCACTAACTGAACTCTGCTATCGAGCGTCCAGACGTCATATTTATACCAAGCTTCAAACATAGTTCTATCCTCCTTTATACAATCTTTGATTTCGTTTTACTTCCAACAATAATCATGAATACTAATGAGTTTTAATAATAATTGTTGACAGGCCCAAGCTATTTTCATGTCGCAGCCGTTATTAAAGCTGGTAGCGCCGATATATATATTATTCTAAAAATACATATCCAATTCTATAGATGATCTTATTTCCTAGACTTAAAATGTAAGTGACAAAAGTATAATTTAAATTCTATTAGTTTAACATATAATTATTTAAGGAACAATTATAAAAATTTAAATAAACATATGTACGTTACAATAAAACTGGTAAATAAATACATACGTCTTACTGTCATGCATAAAATTGCAGTGGTATTATTTTAATGACGACGAGTAATCAATCTGAATTAATTATTGTTAAAAATTAAGACTACAAAAAAGTTGTAATAAAGCTCTGCATGAAGACATTGAGTGTTTCGAGAATAATGTAATTTTAAATCGGCGAATCCCATTCAGGCCAGTCATTCAATTAGCGAGTTTGTAATTAATGATTAATTAATTATTATTGTATGGTGCATGTATCTCTTTCGCAAATATTTTTAATGGTATTATTTGAGTAGGTTCGGTTGGTTTAATAATCGTTACCGTGAAAACTTTACAAAATGGCTACTGTCAGACAAAGAAAAACGAAACAAAGATTTAGGAAATAATGGAAGATAGTTTGAGAAATGTTTTATGACTTTGGGCTGTTACGTTAAATAAGAAATACACATCTTAGTACCTAGTACTTAGTGATGATTGTTTTGGAAGAAAACATAATAAATACCTTTTTGTTATAGATAAGTCACTATTTGTAGCTAAAAGTTACCGAAATAGACTCATTCATTTAAAAACCTAATTGATTTTTACTCCTTGTTTATGTTAATTTATCAAAAAGCTTAAACAAAGTTATATTACGTCTTATATCTAATAATGAAAAACCTTCATAATTGTAGATGATTCAGTTCCAATTTTCAAACTAACCAATAAATAAAACTGCCAATATAACTTTTACTCTGATTTATGATTATTTACCACAGAATGTATGTATGTCAATCAAAATAAACTATCGGTACACTTAATTCGCATCGGGATAAGCTCACATTCATCACAGGAACATGATTTGATTAACTGACTATATTAATTAATTGTCTTAAAATATACTGTTCGTATATTTAAACTATTACATATATCACCTTGCAAGTAATGTGTAGTCCTTTGAGTATTTTTATTTAATGTAATTTGTACTTTGATAAATTTTTATAAAAAATATATTCTTCCTTGTGCATGATATGTTTACAAGACAAAAAGCAAAAATATTTATCTAAATATTTTTATACTTTTTGTATTAACCCAGATATAAATCCAAGAAACTTAAGAGTCTTGTAGTGTATTAGGAATCTTGTAGCGCCTTAATGCCTTAAATAAAAACATAAATGTGGATTTAATGGTATCTATAATTTTCACGTGCACTCATTCAAATGAAACTCAGTTTGTCGGATACTAGACGTTCTAATTATTGTCTGATATTTTCATCTCATCTGCCCGTGATCACGGTCGCTGTAAAGGAACCAAAGCATTTTCATATATATTCATATTTTTTAATTTATTTCACATATTAAATTTCTTGTTATTAAATGGTATACATAAGTTATAAAAACATAATACAACATAAAGGTTTAATATAATACAGCAGCAGATAGGATAAGTAAACAAGAGTCTGCAGTATTTGAAAAGCTCACCGCTGTATTGTCAAACGTGTTCTCCGGATAGGTTCTCGCCTCTAGGGTAACGAGATCAGTTGAAATATTGAATATTAAAAATCACAACTCCTAATGTATCAATAATTTTAATTTTAGGTCCTTGTAATTATATTAATTTGAGTAAAATAACATCGACGAAGACTGTGTATGCTTTAGCAACCATAGCTGGAACGCGTTCAATTTATATGATTTCATAATCGTAGGTAGTTACTACTAGGTATATATGTTTATAAATTTCCAATAATTATTGCTTCTTCAGAATCATATTTGTTTAATTCAAATGTTTTATAATTTATAAAATTTTATTAATTACCTAACTTTTTTGATCATAATTTGATTAAAATGTATTTATAACCCCTATGTTGCCTCATGGATAAATGCTAAGGATGTCTGATTGCTATAGGTATTGTAAATATGTTTTTTTATGTTTACTTTATATATAATCGGAGGATTTATTTCAAATATTTTGATAATGAACCAACACCAGCGAGTTTATTAAATTAAATCATAAAAAATTAAGTTTAAAAAGGTACAGGGCAACAGTTTCATTTAACACACTTAGACCCAGTTTCACCAAACAATGTTAAATAAGTAACAGCTTGTAAAGGAGTTTAATGGTCTGTTAGATGTATCGAGCGTCCCACCACGCACAAATGTCCGTCTAAATGACTTCATATTAATTTCTGATCTAGAGTTCCTACAAATAGCTAATAGACTGTTAATGCATTGTCAAAAGTCAATTGTCCAATCACAGCCCTGATTTCTTGTAACTATAGCAACGTCATCTGGTTGTCAGTTTCGACTATTTTCTTATACTTATTAATAAAGTAAATTAAAATTTCATTTCCTATGATGATTTTGCCCCTAGCTTTTCTATGACATTGCAAATTAAGTTTTTTTTATCTTTTATAATTTGAACACAATTTATGCCTCTAATTATAATACAATATCTCAAACCGTATAACACAATTTATTGACAACACGATTTTGACAAGTTACACCTTTTTTTTATCGTGGGGAAATGCTTCATGCATACTCTCTTGCTTGGGGAGGAAAACAAGGAGAGTCATGTCGGACTCTCGTCCTGGAAAGGACGCACTACCGACTAAAACCCCAAGGGTGTCCCACGCGCCGCTCTTCTGCTAAGCCACAAGGCCCGCAAAGCGATTCTGCTGTGGTTTAGCAACGGCTGCTCCAAAAGGGACATTTCCTATTCAGCTGGATACTCAAACGTCAAACTTGTAACGTTGTAAAAATAAATCGTAATTTTAAAAATACTAATTATATAAAAGAAACTGGCCTTAATTTGTACAACCCACGTCGGATATATATAATTTTAATATGCAAATATTAA